CGCTTTCCCTTTTGATCAGCTAAGGTTACTTTTTTTTCCTGTTTTTTCTTGCCCTGCTGTTATCTAGGTAATGCTGAATCCCTCTCTTCCCGAGGTTTTTGCTGCTTAAAATGCAGGTTTTCGGTGGGGATGTTTCTTCTTTCCTTGAATAAATGCAAATAAGAGCAAATCCTTACCGATCGTCTAGCTGTGTGTTTAAACAAGCTTAGCGGGATCGCGCGTCTAGCCTAAAGCTAACGCACGAGGGTTTCGTTGAACGAGGTGTGCAAAATTACCTGTCATCTGGCTGGGCGATAGAGGTGCCCCGTGCTTGAGAGGTGACAGATGTTCGTTGAGTCAATAGAATAGAAAGCAGAAATGAGATTGTTGTAGCCGTAATTGCATTTGTAGAGCAGTTCCTGGCTAACCGGCGTGTGGAATTGGTATCTTCTATAACGAGTCTGTAACCCAAAGCGCTCTTTGCCGTTGAAGCTGGAAGGCAACGAAAGTCATTGACCGGGCAACGGGGTCGGGAAAGCTTGCTCTGTCCACCCAAAACCATTGCTGCCCACGGTGGTAGCGTGCTACGGCCAGACGCGGGGGACCCTGAAATGGGGTTGGGAGTATTAGAGCCGTGACATCCCGCTCCGTTGCAATCCCCGCCTCTCCAAGGTGGATTATGATCCGTGCCTGGGTGGGTTTAATCAGCGGGGAGCTCGTTATTATCCGCAGACCCAGCTGATGCTGCGTCCCCTGGTGATGTAGTGTTATTTTGTGAAAGAAGCTTTGATTCCTTGTGAATCTCCTCTGGTCGGTCTGTGCTGGTGGTCCCCTGGGAGACGGCAGCGATGCGGCTGTGCCGCTCCAGCGCCAATTTTCTTTTTTCGTGGGCTGTGATCTACTCCTGGAAATACCTTGGCCAGAAAACGAGGCCGTGTCTCTTTGCCCATCCACACGTTAGCAAGTTGTTAACGTTTAAGTAGATGATTCTGCACGAGCCAAGAGCTGAGGTAATACTTACCCACATCTTACCTTTCTTTCCTGTCTATGAGCCTACGGAAACACTAAAACCGGCGTTTTTAACGGTAAATATTCTCTGCCACGCAATTAGACTTGGGGAATTGACTGAGCCAGCCAGAGCGTGTGCACGCTGAAGTGTTTGGAAGGAATAGGGACCCTTGCGCTTCCAGACTTAAGTCAGTAAGTGGTTAAGGGCTGTGAGAAGGCCACTGAAAGGGGGAAAGGAAAGTTGTTTTGGTTTTGTTTTGTTTTG